ATGGGTAAGGCTGCAAGCCCAGAGCTCGCAAACTGTGTTGCCCAGGTCACCTGTTTCGCAAGCTGGGCGAATGTCTGACTGAACATCTCACGGTTTTGACCCACTTCTGCTGAGTGAGGCTGAGGAAACTGGAAAGAGCGGAAATGATATAGGGCAGAGTTAATGCATCTGTCTGTGGGAAGGCTCCACTGCGAGACCAGCTTTGCTCATGAGTCGCCTCTTCCTTTCCAAGCGAGCTGTGCCAAATGGCAATCGGCAATGGTTGCTGAATCGCAGCAATCACGAGACTGCAATAATCATTGACAGTCAACAGGAACACGCATTGTGAGAAAACACAATTTGCAATTGTTGAGCTTGCTAATTTTGCCCACTACAGCATTCAATGATAGTGAATATTGATTGACCCTTGCTGTACACTTCCGGTGAGGCGATTCCTGTTCTTTGGCATTCACGTCGTGTTGATGCATCGAGCACAGACCAAAGCAGCACATACGCGCAGCTGGTGCAAATTCTGCTTCACATATACCAGCGCTTTACACACCATGGCGCTGCAGGGTGGAAGCTACCAGGTCATCGGAAAGTGGCTGCAAAAACGAGGATTTGGGATCCTCGCTCAATGCAAACAATGCTGCTGCCACATTCTTAGTGGCTCGTTCGATTGCCAAGTCTGATCCAATCTGGCTTACCTGGCTCGGACTTTAATCCTGCAAATAGATTGGCTGTTTTCCAGTCAGGGGAAGTCATGTCCAAAAGTCAAGATGAGTTCGCACGCCAAGTTACGGTGCCCGGAAAGCCGAACTTGTCCGCCACCGCCAGGAGGAAGTCATTGGTCAAGCGATACTGAAAGCGCTCTTGCAATCGAAAGCCTGCTTGCAGAGTCATCAGCGGCAAGGGCCGGCCGAACCGCTTCTCGAAGCGTTCCTCAGGGAACCCCCGGGGTTTGCCAATGGTTTCACTTCCAGAAAATGGATTCCATACAAAAGCCCCAACAATGTGGAAAGCACCAAGGCTCTCCACACACATGGAAGGGTTTAGATTGAAGCTTCGTACGTGTCTTGAACTAAAACCTTTCTGGGGGAGAGGAAATCATCTTTCGTGGTCAACACACCTTGTGTGGGGACATGGTTCCAGCAAGTCCCATGTCGGTTGTCTCAAATCTCTACTAGAGGGTTGATGACCATCCCCACGTTACGAACCCCAAGGTGTTTTTGACAGCACATGAAGCGAGCACCGGCGGCATCTGTGTTCCGTCCTCTGCTACCAGCACCACACTCGAGGTATCTGCACCCAATGTCTTGCTGATTGGCTTTAAATAGGCCTCACACACGATGGCAAGCCCCGACGCACTTAGGCAAGCACAGAGTTCCCTATATTTCCCCTTAAAACAACGGCCAAGAGAAACTCAACTTAAATGGTCCAAAGAGGTGATTTCCAAAAACGCCAAAAATTGGAAATACAGGGCCCTCTGAAGCAAGTGATTGTCAAAGACAAGCGGCTCTAAATTCATCTCGGTTGTCTTGAATGCCAGTAGGCGGACAAACAACACCTCAAGATCGCACCAAGCGACGTTTCTCAAACTTGAGGACCCCCCAAAAACCAACGGGTGTAGCTGTTGGTTTCTTCCGCATTGATGCAAAGAGCCGGTCTGAGGCTGGATCGGAGTTTCAGGCCCGTGTCTGCTTGTAACTTTCGCAGAATCCGATCCAGGGATTTCTCTGTGGATGGCGCGAGCAGGTTGGTGTCGTCCACAATCATCTGCTGCTCGGCTGACTGCGCCCATGCCTCAGCTGCGCCCGCAAACCATCAGCACGGCTTTGCCATGGGTCAAGGAGACTTTTTGAACAACTTGTCGGAAACCAACCACATGCACCCTTGCCGGTACGAGAGCGCGCGATGATTGTGACACAGCCAACTAAATTGAACACGGCACGGGGCTCTGCCATATGGAGATTCCCGTAGTTAAGCACAGAGTGCGTCTCGGCCAGGCTTGAACTGGCTTGGAGCGCCCTGGAGCAAAGGGGCACAGGCACGCTTGATTCCTGACAACCAACTATGAACAGCGCAAATCGCGGGCAATTTCTTGTTCCCTGCGCTACATCTTTCGAATATTGGTACCTCGTTGCGGATTGTGCAAATGTCATTGACATGTTTCGGATACCGACAAACTGCAACAGCCCACCTAAACAAAACCATGATGTGCAAGGGGGCCGTCCGGGAAACATGCATCACGTGCATCAATCCTTTGAAGGCAACTGCAAGTGCAAGACGTGCAACTAAAAATGCAAAACACAGCCCTGTCCTGATACATAACCTTGGCTGCATGAAAGCATCACGGATGTCCAAGTTCGGGCCAGCAAAGGCAACAGTCTGCTTAACTCGGCCGAGGCACACGCCTGCATCAGGCCAAGCAACGCCATTGCCACAGCCAAGGCCCGCCGCGAGCCCCCCATTGCACAGGATGGTGCGGCGCTCGCGTGGTCGGATGTTTGGTTCCAAATGGGATGCGGGGGCGAACATGCTAAGGTTGACCCCTGATAAAGAATCGCACTTCGACTTCTCATATTATGAGGAGACTCTTGGAAGCACACATCCCCACTAAGCAAAGACCTCCCTAGGAATAACTGGGGCTTTATTTCTTAGGTACTTGTTTGTGTAAAGGTGCTTGGCCCTCCACTGTGGGGACGATGGATTGGCCACCGGCCATCTCTCATGAAACGTGGCGGCATCTGCGCAAGGTTCTTGGAACTCGTTGTGCCGTCCTCCCCAGGGCACACCTAGTTTGACGATCCGACGCCAACGTATACAACTCGTCTCAACCAAAAAACTTCGAAACAAGCGAGCAGCATCACGCGCTTGCGCTACAGGAATGAGTTGCATCGGATTCTGCAACATTGGCGGGGAGCCAAAGAAAAGACGCGCAGCCAACGTATGCGCTTCAAGCACAGGGTATTCCTTTCTGCCAGTCTCGCAGGGACGTCCTTGGGATTGGCACACACACACACACACGCACGCACGCACGCACGCACGCACGCACACACGCACGCACGCACGCACGCAGGCAGGCACGCAGGCACGCAGGCACGCAGGCACGCAGGCACGCAGGCACGCAGGCACGCAGGCACGCAGGCACGCACGCACGCAACCAACATTCAATTGAGGGCCAACAAAACTCACGCAGACTTGGGGCATAGTGTTCCTCGGGACAGGGCCTCTTTGTATGCCGCAGCTTTCATGTGAATTCAGAGCCGCCGGGCCATAGAAAAGTACTGCTACAAATATATGCGTCCTTTTTCGTCCAGAAATACCTCATCATAACCTCTTGTCTATCTGGAGTAGATACACTTGTTCCACCCACGTCTGAATCGCTGTGCACCAATATGCGCTAGTACTGGGTTCTGAGCAAGGCAGGCACGTAGCCACAACGTGATTCTGATTCAGCTAAACTGTGATTCTCAAATGCAAACACCATTTTGGTGGGCAAGTAGGCAGCGTTCAATGTCGAAGCGTTTTGTTATTCTACCAGCAGTGCTTTGTGGCAGCAGCTGAGGGTTTGTCAGAATTGGGAGCAACTTTTTGTAGCCCCCTTCAAAGGGTGGCACAAAAAATGCCAGGGTCCAAAAAGGGGCCATATTACGACAAACCACCAAACAACAATGTTGGGTCGGCAAGTACCAGGGGCATGCCACGGCCAAAACAAGCCAAAGACGCCTTCCGACACCAGCGAGGCTTGCATGATGCGCATCATACGCAAGGCAACCCCCGCGTCAGGCTGGACCTGTTGGGCCGTGGTAGCACGTTGGACACACAACTAGGCTGCAGCTGAAAACATGTCAGCCACTGCATGTGTGCAATAAGACGAGAACGCGTACACTTTGCCCATGCCGGAGGCAATTCAACACATGCTGTAGGGTATGACCGCCAACACTTTTGCAGTGTAAATGCATTTCAGTATGACGAGAATGCTCACGCTGAGCTTGTGGGTGCAGTCAATTACGCGACGGACACGTGGGCTTATTAATTCAATGTCGGCCTCGCTTATATCATTAGCACTAAGCTCTTCGGCAACGATAGACAAGCCTCACAGTGGGGCTATTGCATCATCGTAAGCGGGACGGGGGGGGGGGGGAAAAATTAGTATTAGGGGGCGTCTAAGGCAGGGAATTTTCAGTTTTCAGTTTCAGGGGCAGGGTTCATTTTCAACAAGCAAACCATTTTGTCCAAAACACCAAGGGGGATTGTAGGGAATTTTCCTAAATTTTCTCAACATTTTTTTACAATTTTTCCTTTTTCAATAAGTCAATCAATGACACCCTTATTCATTATTTACAGTTTTTCAATGAGGTAATTATCACCACCTTATTTGTTTTTTCAACTCATTAGTTTTTAGTTTTTCAATAAGTATGTAAAATTGATGATTAATAATATCATAATGAAATAATATTATCAATCAAATTATTGTTTGTTATGTATTCTTTCCATATTTGAAATATGCTTTAAACTTTTAACGTGTCTGCCTATATCATATTTCTTTACTATATCATTACAATAGAAACAATCTACATATTCGTCATCCCGCTTTTCTTTTGCCTTGGTCAATAGTTCAGTTTTATGTTCTTTGTAATATTCTTTATTGTATTGACTTACCTTATCATTATGTTTTTGTCTATATCTTCGTCTTGATTCTAAACAAATATTACAGTTTTTATTTTCGTTCTCAAAATTATCAAGTGTCCTTTTCATTTTACATTTAGAGCATTGTTTCATTTCTTCGGTCATTTATTCCTACTATATTAAGGGGTCTTTTCTTTAAACATTTTCAAGGGTCATTTCTCAACATTTTTACAATTTTTTCATTATGAAACAGTCTAAGATATTGACATTTTCAAGGTTCGGGTTTCAGACAATTTTACGGCTTTCTGGGGGATACAAGTGTTTAACCATATTATAGTTAAATAATATGAATAAACTTAATCATAAATCTCTATAATTAAACCAGTCTATAATCAACCTTTTCTTTTCTAACAAATGACAGACGAATTTATGGTAAAACTCATTGTCAAAAATGTTTTTATAAACGACTTTGTCTTTGTTTTCTATATATTGCCATTTCAACATTTTAAGAAAATCTCTACACATTGAAATGCTAAAATTTTTACAAGATACATAACCATCATTATTATGAAAAAGTAAATTATAATGAAATTGAGTAGCGGTTTCATAATACAAGATTAGCCTATTGTCATATCCATACTCTTTTAATGTTTTGTCTAAACCAGTTGTAAATATTGTCCGTAATGATTTTTTCGTTGGACATTTATTTAACCTCGTCATATACCAAATCCACTTATCCATTTCTTTTAAATTGTCAGGTTCGTTTTTCATTAAATGTTTTGTAATGGTGCATCTTTTACAACATACAAAACTCAAAATATTATCAATGATACAGTCAGGAAATATGTCATTTGCTTTTTTGACTTTGTTGTTGTATATCTTACAACCACGGCATTTTACAATTTCTTTTGTCAATTCTTCTCTGATACACTTATTCATTTTTTTCCTTAATATATTAAGGGGTCATTTCTTTAAGTATTTTTAGTTTTTTGGGGTTGGTATTTTGGGTTTCAGTTTCATCATTTTCACTTTCAGCATTATTTTATGTCTAAATCATGTTTGCTATTTCTTATATATTAATTCACGGTATAATGATTGAATTGGTTTTATATCGTCCTTTTTGTTTTTGTTGTTTTTCCATTTATCAAACATATCTTTGTATTTACTAAATTCATTTTTTGATATTTTCCCTTTGTTCAATCCTTCTTTGAATGCTTCGTCCAACAGTTGTATATTCATTCTTGAGGGTGCTGTTTTGTCTTTTTGTATTGTCTTTTTTGGTTTGGTTATTTCAGGTGTCTTGTCGTCTTTATCTTTGTCAGGTTGTAATCCAGATGATGATGACGTTGCACCTTGTGCTATTTCAGGAGTGTGCTGTATTGCTTTTAGCATCTTCTTTTTTTCTTCTTTGTTCGTTTTACTTTTTGCTTTTGGTCTCATCTCTTCTGGTGCGTCTCGTTCTTGTCGTTTTTGTGCGTCATCTCTGATGCTTTCTATCGCCATTGTCTCGCTTTCATCCATTGTTATTGCTTCCAATGACGCCTTTGCTTTTGCTTTTGCTTTTGCTTCTGTTTTTTTCGTTTTTGATGGTTTAATTACTTTTGCTACTGCCTCTGGCGACTGGGAAGAACTTGAAGCAACTGTTGCGTTAAGATTTGACATATCTTGAAATGCTTGTGTTCCTTGAAATATATTTGCTAAATCTTGACCTAAACTTAAATCCATTTGTTTCATTCTTTGTAATCTTTGGTTCGTATCATCAAAATGTTGTTGTCTAACGCTTTGAGAAATATAACTGATTTGTTGTTCGTGTTGTTCTTCTGCTTCGTCCATTGTAGCATCCAGCGCTTCTGTTGCTTCATCTCTTAAATCATCCATTTCATCGTCCTTTGCCATATCAAAATGAGCGACTGTTTTAGGTTTTTCTAACATTTTTTGAAAATGTTGTTGTCTCAAATCTACGGTATTATTGTCATACACTGTTCCTAATGGACTATCACGAAAATAATAAGCGTTTCTGTCTATTACATCTCTGATATTCTTATTTTTATATTCTTCCTTTGTAATTTCCTTGATGAGTTCATTATAAGACGGTCTTAATCTTAATTGTGATTTTAGCGTTTTCATCTGTGTGTTGTCTAATCTCATTATATGTAATTAATTAGATTATAAAATTATTAATTTAATTAATTTATTCAAAATTAAAATCTTGTCTTAATTGATTGATTATTCCTTTTTTCTTCTTAATCATTTCCGAATAGGTTTTACCTGTTTCACTTGATGGATGATGTCTTATTTTTTCACCTTCCAACCTTTGGATTTCATTAAAATACGCCTGTGCTTCATCTTGATATCTTCTTCTATTTTGAAATATAGCGTAGTCTTTTTTAGCGTTATGAAATTCTAACTGTTCCTTCATTTCTTTCAGATATGTATAGCTTGGTTGGTGTGCTTTGTTGTCTCCGTCGTAATAGTAATGGACATTAGATTTATATTTTTTACTTGGTTTTGTTATGGGATTATAAAATTTGTTTGATGTTGGTAATTTACCTGCTTTACCATTCTTTGTAAGTGTTGATGTTATATTTTCAAAATCTGACTTGTTCATATAATAATAATTAGATTATAAATTTATTTATCAAATAATTTTTGACACTAATTTATTAATATGTTCTTGTTTCTTTTCCATCTTCTGCTGTTTCATATTAATATATCTATCTTTTGCGGTTTCAAATACTTTATTTGCTGTGCTTTCTATATGTTGTTTTAACCTTTCTTCAACTTTTTGTTGAACACGCTTTTCTATTTCTTGTTCATCCACTTTTGGAATATCGCTTTTTACTCTGTTATAAACATCTTCTTTGAATTCTTCTGCTTGGACTGGATTGA